GTCAATTTGAGGCTCGACAGGTCCTTTTGCTAATCATTTGTTCCAGTAGAGATGATTCTCCTGAGCAGTGCACTGCACCGAGTCACACCATGGATAGTTATTTGGCTTCCTGTTTACCAAATTGTACTCCTCCGCAATCCGCCAATCACTTGTGGGTTAGGACAGTCTTGAAACAAACGCCAGGAATTCAGTTAAGCGGCTCATGTTAATGCGATCATTTACAAGAAAGTGCAGAAATTTTCACAACAAACCAGGTCGGTTGCGACGTGGTACTGGCTAACATAGACACTTATAGGTTCAAGACGTCCGGAAGCATTCGTGGCTTTGGATTTGTGGAGTTTGCCTCTAAGGGTGCCGCCGAACGCGCCGTCTCCGCGTTGGCGCCGACGGAAAAGGACCTCGTCTGTCCTCCAAATCTGCAGACGAATGTTTGTAAGTCAAGTATGATATTTAATATCTTGGATGCATGACCCCATCTTACTGTCATGATGTCCCAAGGGTAGCGTATTGGTGTGTCGGTTTGCAACTGTCTATTTCTTTTGGAAAGTAAATGCTCCCATTGGCGCTGAATATACTGATTCACCGAGTTATTTTTGCATTTTTTTACACATCCAAAGACGACAGCGGATTAAAGGGACAAAAAAGGGTATTATACTTTTATACTGATACCTTTGATTGTTTTAACTGCCAGACAAGATTAAATGGATCAAGACTTGTTTATGGAATTATGTCCACCGCTGTAGTGTTACGCTGGTACTAATGGCGTGACGTTTGTTTTATCAACTGAGATATTTAATGCCAATGGTAGGGGGTTAGTAAAGGCTGCGATCAAGGGAAGTGGGAAACTTTATTGAAATTAGCGGATGATTGCACAAACTCCTACTCAAAAGCCGGCCTCACGTGAGTCTTCACATCGCCATGCTACTCAGGTCAAAGTTGTTTTTTTTTCTCACGAAACCCAACTTTGTCCCTATGCTTCCTTTCAGCCGGAAGAAAAGTCGCCGCCTTCGCCTCAGCCTCTAGTATGCCAGAAGCAGGGTGGACGCCGAAGTTGGCGCCGTACGCCACAAACCTAAGCATGGATGAGCGATTGGCTCGCCAATTCGTTTGGCGCTGCTGCTCCCGCCGGTCGAAGCAGGTCGTCTCGGCCTACCGCAGACTCCTCGTCGCTGGTTATTGCATGCCCAATCCACTGGACGCCGAGTGTACTTCACATCTATTCTCCCTTCGTTGATATTGCATAGTCCATTTCATAATGGTCGTGTCATTACCTAGGATAGTTATCCGTGGCACTTATTTCGAGATTGAGCAATCTGTCTAGCTGTAATCTGTCCATTGACAATCGTCCGAAAAGCATATCATATTGCTCTTTCTGAAAGTAGGCAAGTCAAATGCTGCCCTCGTTTCACTTCTTTAGATCGTTTAATCACGGAGGGTGTTTGCAGCCTTAATAGCAGAGGTGAAGGCGAAAGCGCAGAGACTGGAGTGGGGATGGTGAGGTGCAGGGAGTTGCGTCTTCTTCCCTACCGAGATTGGTTGACTTGGCGGCCGCGGTTCTATGCATGGCTACGGGCCTGGACTGAGCGCATGCGCAAGAAGACCAACCGGTTGTTGGCGGGCGCGGAGCGTAAACGCCATGCTCCTATGCTCCACCCACCTCACGCATACCACGGTGAGACGTCTACCACCACTTCTGCAATCGCCGTGGTTACACCGTCGGCAACGACGGTAACGGAGGAGGTGACGGCTGTAGCGGAAGCGGAGAAGTCGCCGGGTGCCGCACTACCCGACAACTTTTATCCCGGAACTGTGGTTGAGGTGAGTGGATGAAATCCAATCGGGTTGAAAGGTAAAGCCCTCATCGGTACGCAGTGTTATTCATGATGAAATGCGATTTCAAATTGGGAGTTTCCTTTTTCATTGTTCTCCGAGAAGGAGCAATGCACATTCACGTAGCCCAGCTATTGGAAAGCAGGAAGCAGCTGCGGAATTAGGCATTGCGAATTCAATTATTTTAGCTCCTTGTATGAATTATTGACACAATGCCACTTTGATTGAAGTGGCGAATTTACTCCACCATTGCTCTTTTTTTTGTGAAAAACCTTCTGAGTGGGTTGCCATGGCTGTTTCTAGTGACAGCAGCATTGTGGTGTGCTTCAATTTACAAACCGTATTTTCAACAAAAGCGCTTTTTTGGCAAATTTACTCCGAATCGCCGTCTCATGGGAAATGTTTGAATCCAAAGTGAGCTAACATTGAACACAAATTTGGATGTCAAATTCCTACGTAGTATGGGCCATGTCGGACGTGTCCCAAGGACTGCATCCTTCAAACGGCAAGCGATTGAATAAATTTAATCTAATCCTTACGAATTTAATTTGTGACCTTCAACCGTTAAAAGCTTAAATTTGACCAAAAAGGTAATGTTTTCTATACGTAGGTGTATTGGCCTTTGGACGAGGAGTTGCAGCAGATGGAGCCGCGACTGCAGATGCGTCGGGTGCGTGCCGCCATAGAACACAACATTCTTCAGCCACATCGTCTTCTGCGCGCAGTAGCTCACTTTGATACCAAACCCTGCGACCACCCGCCACCCCTAGAAGAAATGAGGGGAGGAATGGATCCCGTCCCCATTCCTTCCACCTCTCATTGTGTTACCACCGTTCGTGTCTTCGTGCGCTTTCGCGGGGTTGCAGAGGCGCGCACCTTTGCTCGCCTCCTCTCCGACTGCACTATGGGAAACGGTGATGACAGTGGCAGCGGTGGTGGGTGTTTTGCGTGGGGCAGTGTA